AAAGGACAATGAGTATGTCCTGGGAAAATGTGCAGTTAAGGTCCCTTGGAGGGAAGGATAATGAAACTTGGACATACTTTAGGCATGTTGTTACAAGGAGTCAGTCCTTGGAAAAGGACATCATGCTTGGGGAAAGAAGGGAGTCAGTAAAAGAGGGGAAGACCCTCCACAAAATGGATTGACACAGTGATTACAATGGTGGGATCTAGTATGTCAGAGATGATGAGGATGACACAGGATAGGACAAGGTTCAGAGCCACTGTTCATGTTATCACTATGAGTCACAGCTGACTCCTACATTTTTCCTAACAGTACTTTATTCACATATGTGTTTTGCTAGAATCTGTGCTGACACTTTAAATTTTTAGGTAGACAAGAGTTGGAAATAAAGCTATCAATACTCTGAGCAAGGAAAGATGAAATTAAAGTACTGACATGAAGCATTTCGTCAAAAGTAGACCAACTCTGGCTTTTGCTTTTGGATTCAACAGTCTTCAAAGTTAAACTGACTTGAAAGCAAGCATCCTAAGATGAGGTAACCCTTATAATTAACAAGCAGTGCCAGAAATTCATAGAGGTGAAACTAGCCAGTTGTGATAAATAGATGTAGCTCACTTTACATTTAACATTTATATAACTTTATGCTAAATAAATGTTTTAAAGCTGAAAAACTGGAAAGACAAACCAGTAGGAAAATAATGACACAAGTAATTCTAATCTGACCAGAACAGATACTCAAAAGACATTTGAAAAAGTTACACTAACTTTCCTTTCTTTAATAACTTCTTAAATCCTTGGGATACCTCTTTGTTGCGGAGGCTGTAGATGAGGGGGTTCAGCATTGGGGTGAGAATGGTGTAGAAAGCTGACACCATCTTGTCTTGATTTGGTGTATGTTTGGAAGCTGGTCTCATGTACATGAACATGGCAGCACCATAGTAAAGTCCAATCACAGCCAGGTGTGATGAGCATGTAGTGAAAGCCTTGTGGCGACTTTGTCCAGAACTCATGTGAATGACAGCCCGGAGGACATAAGAATAGGAAATGATAATAACAGACACTGGCAAAATCAGCATCACTACACAACAGATAAAGAGCAGTTTTTCAAATGTGGTGGTGTCTGTACACGATAGAGGCATAAGGGCAGCCACATCACAGAAAAAATGATGAATTTCCAGAGAGCTGCAGTAAGAGAAAGACAGTGCAGCTGCAAGCACAATAATTCCATCAAGAGAGCCTAGGATCCAGGAAGCTACAGTTGAAAGCTTGCAGAGTTTCTGATTCATGAGGATAGTGTATCTAAGAGGGTGGCATATAGCCACATAACGATCATAGGCCATGACAGCCAACAGAAAGCATTCAGCTCCAAGCAAGGACACATAGAAGAATATCTGAGTTCCACAACCTGCCAAAGAGATGGATTTCCTGCCAGACAAGTAACTGAAGGCCATGTTGGGTACTGTGGTGCAGATGAGCATAAGGTCCATGAGGGAGAGTTGACTGAGGAGGAAGTACATGGGAGTGTGGAGTTGAGTGTCCAGGTAGATGATAAGAATCATAGTAGTGTTTTCCATGAATGCCATTGTGAAGATGCCCAGGACCAGAGAGAACAGGAAGGTGTGGGTGGGACTGTGATCAAAAATTCCCAGAAGGATGAATTCAAAGTGAAAAGTCGCATTTCCCCGCCTCATGGCAATTATTTTGTTTTATCTGGAAGTTTCAAAAAAGGCACATATTTATTAATTTTTTAAAAATTGGTTTTGAAGATACATCATAGCAAGATGATAGAACTTAGAAATGTACACAATTCATGCACAATATATTCTCTCCAATTTAAGTAAGATATGCATTGTAGTTAATGTGTACCATCAAGTCTGAACCACTTATGCTCCAGTCGGTTTTCAGAAGCAGTAAATTGCATGAGAAGATTGCTTATCTTACTCATGTTGAGTATTGGTGGATTCTAATTGTGTATCCTTGAGACGCCAGAGCAATTTCTTCTACTAAGCCACCTAAGGTGACTTTCTCTCTCTCTCCCCTCCCCCCCATCTCTTGCTCATCTATCTATAGATCGATCTCTCTCATCTCTATCTCTATCTATCTTGATCTTGATCTTTTAATAGAGATAGAGGTAGATAGATACAGATAAGAAGAGATAGAGAGATATATAATACAAATCAAAGAGGACTATAAAGATTTTTCAATTTAATAAACACTATTGAGCTGTGGCGCTGGAGAAGAGTATTGAGAGTACCATGGACTGCTAGGAAAACAAACATTCATCTTGGAAAAGGTTAAACTGGGTGGCACCTTGGAGGCAAGGATTCTGAGGCTCCGTCTAACATACTTTGGACATGTGGTGAGG